TTCCTTTTCCTTTTTCCTTTTATTTCAATTGGAGGGTATATAGGTCATTTTAAGTTAAAAATTAGGGAAAATGACGTTTTGCGCAAGAAAATGCATAGGTAGGGACGTTCTGCACCAAAAAATCAAACGTATGGACGTTTTCCACACAACCCGTCATAGGTAGGGACGTTTTGCGCCAATAACCCAACAACAAGTGTTTATTCTTAGGTGTGATTGTTATATCAATAGTTATATCAAATTTTCAAAGTCGAATGTTTGATTAGTTAAAGTCAAAGTCAAATATGGACTTAATTGGAATAAATTATTTTCTTGAGGTTTATTTTACAATTGATAATATATGAGGGTTTAAGATGGTACGCTTTCATTAAATATTAGGTGTTCATGCTTAACTTTACAATCAACAGTATTAGCCATTGTAACATTACAAATATTATAAATCTCGTGAATATTAAACCATTTTTATGTGATACGAGCTGGCCTTCTCTCATAAATGTGTTAGTGAATTAAATTTATATTTGTATACCCAAAGACGTATTCCGGATTGGAACAACAAAAAAAATTAATTCAAGCTAATATTAAAAAAAAAAAATTACACGTGAAATTATTTTTAAGGTAAGAGTATCTCCAAAAGATTATTTAAAGATAAGATGTTCTTTTAAATAGTCAACTCTTAAAATTATGCTTTAAAACTCTTTAGATTAAGATTTTAATTTAAAGAGTGGATTTAGATAACCAACTCACTCTCTCTAATTAAATACATTCAAAATATTTCAATTTTTAATTGAAGAAAATAATATAACAATTAAGAGGGAAGTTAGTGAAAATAAAAAATAAAGAAAAACAATAAATATTTTTCTGGAGTAATAAAATTAAGTGTTAAATATAGAGATCATGTTGGAATAACTAAAAAATTATATCCTCAGAATTTATGGATGCTCTCTACGTTGTAAAATATTATATTTGAAAATAGAGAATGTTACACCCCATTCATTTATAGTCGAAGTTAAGAAATTATTTAGTCAAAACCAAATGTTCAACTAGTCAATGTCAAAGTCAAAGTCAATTATGAATTTAAATGAAATAAATCATTTTATTGTAGTTTATTTTATAAATGATAATAATTGAGGGTTGAATATTGATTAAATTTAAAGTAGGGGATGTACTTACCTAACATTGGAAGTTATATGACCAAATGTGTATTATATGAAGGTTGAAGGACTTCCTTTGCAATTAAGCGTTAGTGCCCACTAACTCTTATACATTTAACACATTTCTCATTTCTGTACTCACACAGAAATTGTGAAAACCGTAACAGAGGCTGGAAATGGTGGGAAGCAAAGAAAGGAAATAAGGGAAAAGGGAAGGAGGAAAACGAAAAGAAGGAAAATAAAAGGGAAGGAAAATAAAAGTATTAAGGTTTTTCACTTCTTCTATTCCAAGTGGCTTAATTTTAAAGATTTGGAAGAAAGAATAGATATTGAATTTGAATATTTGTTGAAAAAATATAAAATGGGTTTATGAATCAGAACTTCAATTTTTAAATCTATTGTGTTTATATTAAAACACTTGATTTTATGAGGTATTAGAGTGGAATAAGGATTTTAGGTTTGATTTTGGTATATTTTTTAACTCATTTTCTTCAATTTTCGTACAAAATTATCACCCTAATGCTACTATTGAAATTCTTCCAAGAAAGTGTTGTTCCTATCAATGAGTTTGGTGACTGTTTCAATATACAGAAACTGATGCCATCATTCAATACTCTGAAATTTTAGTGTTATTTTTGTCAAATTTTTTATTTTTAGATTTTAAGGGTTGAATGAAATTAAATGATAAATATTGAAGTCTAGGTATTTGATTAAATCATCTATAGAGGTTATATATGTATAGGGTAATGATTAAGAAGTATGAGTAATTTAATGGTTTATGTTATATGTGGTGATTGGTCGGTCAATAATCAAAGAGAGGAAAAGTTCGGAAAATAGAGATGCAAGAATAAATATGGAAGTTGTCGAGTTAAGTGGTGGATTTGTATTAATTTAATTGTCAGGTTTTAATTTGTATAATTATACTATTATTTCAGGTAGTGGTGTGTAAGTTGGGAAATACTAGTCAATTTATTCAGATTTCTATCCATTAATTTGTGAGTGGAAAAACTTAAATATTTTTCAAGTATTGATAAATTAATTATACTATAATACATTTTATGCAATTATGTGAATTATTTATCAAAATACATGATTAATTTGGAAATATTCCCTTATTATGATCTGTGTGAAATTTTAAATATTGTATATGA